GTTGTTTTGAATTCATTTTCCTTTGTTTCCAGAAACTTTTTTATTTCTTCCCTAATTTCATTCTTGACCCATTTATTGTTTAATAGCATATTATTTAATCTCCATGAATTTGAATGTTTTTGGTTTTTTTCCTTGAGGTTGGTTTCTAGTTTCAGTCTCTTGTGGTTGGAGAAAATGCTTGGTGTGATTTCAATTTTCTTGAATTTGTTGAGGCTTTTTTTGGGTCCTATTATGTGGTCTGTCTTTGAAAATGTTCCATGTGCATTTGAAAAGAATATGTATTTAGCTTCTTTGAGATGAAGGGCTCTATATATAATCAGTTAAATCCATTTTATCTAGGGCATTGTTCACTGTCTCAATATCTTTGTTGGTATTTTGTTTGGAAGATCTGTCCATTTTTGACAGTGGGGTGTTAAAATGCCGTACTATAATTGTGTTCCTGTCAATATTTTTCTTGAAGTCCTCTAAGATTTTCTTTATATATTTTGGTGCTTCTATGTTGGAAGCGTATATATTTACAATAGTTATGTCTTCTTGCTGGGTTCTTCCCTAGAGTATTATCAAGTGACCTTCTGGGTTTCTCTTTATGGCCCTTTTTTTGAAGTATATTTTGTCTGATATGAGTATTGCTACCCCAACTTTTTTTCCTGTCCGTTTGCTTCAAAAATTTGTTTCCAGCCCTTCACTTTTGGTCTGTGTAGGTCTTTTGTCCTAAGGTGAGTCTCTTCTAGGCATCATATGTGTGGGTCATGCTTTCTTATCCATTCAGCTATTCTGTGTCTTTTGATTGGAGTATTTAATCCATTTACGTTTCGTGTTATTATTCATAGGTACTTATTCATTGCCATTTTTGTACCTGTCTTCCTCTCTGCCTCTCTCTTTTCCTTCCTTTCCCTAAAGCAGTCCTTTTAGCATCTCTTGCAGAGCTGGTTTGGTGGAGGTATATTCTTTTAGACTTCTTTTGTCTTGGAAGCTCTTTATTTGGCCTTCCATCTTGATTGACAGCCTTGCTGGGTAAAGTAGCCTTGGTTGTAGGCCTGTGATTCTCATTACTTGGAATATTTCTTGCCATTCTCTTCTTGCATGGCGTGTTTCCATTGAGAAGTCAGTAGCTAACCTTATTGGGGCTCCCTTGTATGTTACTTCCTGTTTCTCCCTTGCTGCCTTTAATATTCTCTCTTTGTCTTGGAATTTTGCCACTTTAATGATGATGTGTCTTGAAGTGGGCCTCCTTGGGTTCCTCTTGATTGGGACTCTGTGATTCCTGGATTTGTGTGACTTTTTCTCTCATCAAATTAGGGAAGTTTTCCATCATTACTTTTTCAAATAGATTTTCTATCCCTTGCTCTTCTTCTTCTCCTTTTGGTATCCCTATTATTTGGATATTATTACATTTCATATTGTCTTGCATTTCTCTTAATCCCTCTTCATTCTTTCTGAGCCTCTTTTTCTTTTCTTGCTCTTTCTGGGAGTTTTTATTTTTCTGCTTTGTACCCCAACTCACTGGTGTGATTTTCTGCTTCATCGATCCAGGTTTTGATACCTTCCACTGTGTTCTTCAGTTCAGCAATCGTATTCTTCATTTCTTCTTGGCCCTTGCTGATGGTTTCTATTTCCTTTTTCATGTTGAGATAGTTTGCAGTGAGTTCATTGTAGTTCCCTTGTAGTTTCTAGTAGCTCATTGTGAGCTCTTTGAACTTCATGATAACCAGTGCTTTGAATTCAGTATCTGATAGTTGACTTGCCTCTATTTCATCTAGCATTCTTTCTGAGGCTTCTTCCTTTCCTTTCATTTGGAGATTGTTTCTTTGTCTTCCAATCATTTGTGAGACTCTTGTTAGCTTCAGCTTCTTAAAATGATTTGTTCTGGCTTCCTGGTTTTATGGTGTGAGTTCACCGTATGGTGTGAACTCACCATATGGTGTAAGTTCACTGTGGTATAATACCTGTGACATTCAGTGGTATAGTCTCCTTGATCTCCCAACTCACTGGTCTTGGGCTGTCTTGTAAGTTGACTCTGTGTTTGTCTTTTCTGGGTGTTTTGGGGTCTGTCTTTTGTGGGTCCTTCCCATTATCTGGTGAACTGATGGTCCCTCTGTCCTCTACCTGTTTTAATTTGTTGTGCTGGTGAGGGTAGGTTGTGTTGAAGCTAGTTCTTCTCTGTGTATAAGGTTTTGAGGATTCTCTTTTGCTCTTGTTCAGTTGTTTGCATTGGATAGTTTCTCCACTGTGTAGTTGTATTTCCAGATAGGTTTGGATTGAGTTTTGTGTGGCTTCTACTCCCTCCTTCACCTTCTTCTTTTGTTATCTGCTGATGGTTCCTTTGTTGTCGGGTTTCCTCTTCCAGTGGGTATCCTGGTGTTCACCACTTCCACCCACTCTTTTTTTGTGTGTGACCAGTTGGAGGGGAAGGCAAAATGGTTTAAGCCAACAGGAGAGTATTCTATGATATTTACATTAGCAGCCAGTAGAGAAGAGATAGGAGATCTTTAGGGTATGTATAGTGTTAACCATAACCTTCAACCCAACTAGCCACTTTTTAGAAAGTATGGACTGAAGATAAGACTCTTGTTGGGGAGGGAAGGCTTGTGAGTTGGATCTAGAAAGCAGTGAGGTTGTGGGAGGTCAGATTCTGAGGTAAGGTGAGAATGAAGGATAGTAAATAGGTGTAGTGTGTGAGAGAACAGAGTTAACCTCTACAGTAATAGAGTTCAAGAAATTGAAGTGGGCTAAAATCCAGGAGGGGTGTTGTGAAATATTTACAATTGTATGGAATAGCTATTATTTACAATAATATTAGAGCAACAATCATATGACAGAATCTGTGTGATCTGTTTAACATAAGTAGGGGGTACAGAACTTTGAGTAGTGCTAAAGGAACACAAGTGACATGAAGGATATGTGGGGGGAAAAGGCAAGAGAAGGAAGGAAGAAGTGATAAGTTTGGAAAGAAAGGAAGAAGGAATAAAACAAGAAGGAAGATAGGGAAAAGGTATTGGAAGATAAAACACTAATAAAATTTAAACAAAGATTACTTTAAAAAAACAGAAACACCTCCCGTTGGTTTCAAGCTGGCCAAACCACTTTTTTTGGTCTCACTGGCTGCAGCAGGCTGAGGGGCGATTCATGTAGCCTTTCTCCCTTCCCGATGTGTACTCAGCCAGTCTTGTAAGCACTCTCCCAAGTGCTAGTCTGGCTCCTCTCCCCAGCACCCCACTCATGGGATCCTGGTCTTCTTCAGAGCCCTCTTTCCCTGGGAGTCATTGCTGTGGGCTGGGGTGTGGGTGCACGTGCCTGGCCAGGCTGCCTGGGTCCCGCAGGTTTGGACGCAAAACCTTCCCAGTGATATGGGGGAACGCAAGGCCTTCCGCCCAACCTTGGGATCACTGCCAGGCTGTGTGGGGAGTAGGCCAAGTGGCTGTCACAGGAGGACGCCCCAAACAGTTTACTTTTTGAGAAATTCCTCCCACTGAAGCCTGCCACTCAGCACAGCCCAATTCTCCAGCCAGACTGGTGACCATCAGGTTCAGAGCCCAACACTGCGACTCTCAATTCTCCCAAGCCAGCAACTGCAGACTCTGCAGGTGATCATGGCCCTTGTGTTTGCCTCCCTGTCCTTATTCCCTTCTCTGAAACTTCAAGCAAATAGGTCTCTCCCAATGTTGCTGAGGCCCTGCTTGGCCAGGGAGAGAAGGAGCTGATGACCTGGCTCTCTCCCAAGAACCCTGTGGCCGGCCCTCAGCTCCCAAAGAGTCTGTGGTAGACTCGGTGCGGGCATGGGCCAGGACTGCTGCCTGTCTCCACACTGGTCCCTGGGACCTTATTGTCCTGCAGCTGTCTCCTTACCTTCTGGTTTTTCAGTGTCTGCTATAATTTCTGGTCTCTTATTTTCATATATGCTGGGGTACTGTTGGCTGTTTGCTCTGCTCCTCCGTAGATTGGCCAGGTTTTTCTGCCATGTGTTAGAGGGAAGTAGAATCTGCTCCATCCTACTCTGTCGCCATCTTCCTCTATTCTATACATCTTCTAATGCATAAGACAGCTCCACTGCAAAGAGTTATTTGGTCAAAATGTCAGTAGTACCAAAAACTCACAAACCACTTTTGACATGTTTGCTCAGTCAGAGGACCTTCTCCATATCCTGCACAAATCTTTTGTTATTTCATTTGCATTTTTACCTTTCTTGAAATAAAGCATAATACACCAAAAATGTTGCATATTTTCTTTCATCTTCAGTATTAAAATGGCTGTACAGAAATTCACCAATTTTTATAATTTTTAAATGCATGCTGGTATGACAGCTGTCACAGTAAAATATAACAAAATTATTTCAAATGAAGTTAAAGACAACTAAGCATTACAGCCATCATACCGAAAAAACTAAATGAACTTTCTCCCTCTTTCTCCCTCTCTTCCCCTGTCTCAACATAAATAAACACAATCTTTAGAAAATTAGGTAGTTTTTAAGGCACACTCAAGAAAAAAGATTTCACATGGTCATTACTTTGAGTGCCTGGCCTCAATTCCTACTTAGCTTTGCTTCATTATTGGTGGCTCAGAACTTCACTGGTAAGTAGGAAATTTGGAAGCAAGGCTGGCTGCCTGGAAAAACCTACTTATATTGACTTGAATTGCTTTTTTTTTTTTTTCACTTTTGTCAGCTATTTTTTGTACTGCTAAATGGGTGGGCTTTTTATGTTTTTTATAGATGAATGAAAACCAGAAAATCCATACTATTTATATCACTTAAAAATGTGATACTCCTAAAGTATTAACAGCACTGAAGTTATTCATCATGTGATCAGACTCTCTGTTAATTTTTTTTATGATTAGAGTAGGAAGAAGTAGTTGAAGTGATGTGCCCCATCTATCTACTTCCTTCTTCCTTTTCTCTTACCTCCAAAAAAAAGGCTAGAGATTCTTAAAGGAAGAATAAAAAGATTCATTTTAGAATAGATTTGTATTCTTGATAAGACAACACTTCTTCGGTTTGCTTATAGGTCCTGTTATTGCCTTGGAATTTAATGGAGATGGTGTTGTAGAAGAATGTCAAATTGTTGTTAACAAGATATTCGGGGAGACCAAGGTACACAATTTCATTGACTATATTTTTTTTAGGCCGTTCCTGAGCTGAGTTCAGCATGACTCAGTACTGCTGCTCTTCTGGTCACTGGTCCATACACCCCTTGAAGACCCCACTTTCTCACCTGGCCCTTCATTCTACTGGTCAGAGGCCACCCTGCCTGGGCTATTTGGAGGGGCTCTACTGAAAAGCAGGCCAACCTCTCCCCTGACACTCCAACCTGCTGGCAGCCACCATTAGGGCACTTACATAGGGTTAAGTTCCTGTCCTTCCCCCCAACAATTACAGGGTTCTTCTTGAATGCTGAGTCCTGGCTTGAGTCAGCTGTATCTTCTGAACCCCAGCCTGGACCTGGCACACTTTAAAAATGTACTTTGGTTCAAAACAGATATCCCATCCACAGGTCCCCAGAATCCAGGGCTTCTCTTTGTGACCTACAAGGAGCAGGTATTGGGCAAGGAAGGGACAGCTTCAGAGAGACTACTTCAGAGCCAGAGTAAATTTCCAGTGTCTCTGGCTGCTTTCAAATCAGTATCCAGGAAATTCAGCCTCAAAGAGACCCCAAAGCTCACCTCTTCAAATATCAGCTCCCAGAAAAACAGTAGACCCCTGAAATAGCCACAAGGTATTTCAAGGGTCCCAGAGTCTTTCTCAAGGTTTTCTCCAGGACCTCTTACCTCTGAGAAAAAGCTCCTAGTAGACTTCCAAAATATGCCTCTCCCCGAGTCCAAGGGGTGAACCCTCAAGGGTCTGGGTCCTTTTAATCTTGCATATCAACTCAAGGGCCTAAAGATCTCCCCAGGAAGTTTCCAGAAAAATAGGGACCTCCATTGTGAACATTAAAGCAATTGAAATACCCTCACCTCTAAGCAAACTCCAGGGCTCCCCTCTAACCCACCTCCCAGAGACATCCCCAAAGTTCCAGGAAGATCTCACTGTTTTTCCAAACTTACCTATGATCTCATCTCCTAAAGCAAATCCAGAGCTCTATAAAAGCCTCTGCACCTCAGAGGAACCCCCAGGGCTCCATAAAAGTCCCTGCTTTCAGGGACAACCTCAGAATCCAACCTATTCCTGAGACATCTCCAGGATCCCAGGATCATCAACTTCCAGGGCTCCCAGTATCCCCATTAATCTTCCACCTACTAGAGAGACCTCCAGAATTCCTTGACTACCCAGGATCAGCCCTAGAACCTTTATCCCCTGAAACTCCCACCTCCTAATTCTCCATTTCACAACAGCCTGGAGCTACAGGCTAAACTTCACCCACTGTGGGGGTGGGGTCTGAGATCCACTATATTTCAGTCAAACCTTTTCATTTCCTTTCCCCTACAGTCAAATAGTACTTTTTAGTCCTAGTGTTGCATGGAATTAACAAAAAAGATCATGATTTTTAGAACCTATGGTAAATAATTGGGAGTTAAGCTTTGGTCTTTCCTTGCCAAACGAGAATATTAATTGCTTAAAAATTTTCAAAATAAGAATGTACTTATTAAAACATTCAATAATACTTGTTTCTAAAGTAAAAAGTCTCATCAGATGTGTATTCAAACCCTCCTTTTTTAAAAAAGAGAATGAGATATGAAAAAATAGAGAATGATGTCTTAAATGATATACAGATGGTTTGACTTAATGATTTTTCTACTTTAAGTGATAGGCATTCAATAGGAACCACATTTCTGATATGCTGTAGCTTACTCTCTCATAAGCTAGGCAGCTACAAGGAGCCACAGCTCTCAGTCGGGTCTGACATCATGAGGGTAAACAACCACTCCTCTACAGTATAGTCATTGTGTTAGGTGATTTTGCCCAACTAAAGGCGAATATAGGTGTTTTGAGCACATTTATGGGAGGCTAGGCTAAGCAATGATGTTCAGTAGAGTAGGTGTATTAAATGCATTTTCAATGTATGATATTTTAAATGTATGATGGGCTTATTGGAGCATAATCCCATTATAGGTCAACAAACATCTGTATTTCTAACATTATGTACTTTAGACAGATGATCCCATTGCCTAGTGTTAATTTTTATTTGTTTCAGTAATGCTTCTGCAAAAATTGAACTTGAGCTTTATCTAAAAATCATTACATATACATATTTTTAGATATATTGATGAGGTTGCTGTATTTAAGAATTTCAGATTTAATATAAACATAAGAGGCTATATATATATATATACATACATATATATGACTGATTTTTTAAAATAAATATATGAGAGGAAAATTTTGGTTTTGTACTCTGATTTGGCTTGTGGTTCCTTGAATTTGCATAATTTAAAGTATTTTACCTTTTATCTCATTTTATCATCACATAATGGTGAGGTCAAATGTAATCAGATTGAATAGGAAAGGAAACAGAGAAAATGGTATATGATCTGGTGTTTTTTAGATCTGAATAAATTAAGATTACTTAATTCAACTTTCTCATTTTACAGATGTGGAAACTGAGCCCAGGGAGGTTTATTAAATTTTTAGTATCATACAGCTAATTTATGATAAGGCTCAAATAGAACTCAGGTCTCCTCTATTTCTTGGCTGACATTTGTAAAAGCTATTTTTAAAGTGTTCTAATGAGTATTGCTTTATAGTTGTTCAGAAAATAGTTCATTTTAAATTAGTAATATGTCTTGAGAGCTTTAAAACAAGATGATCTCAAGATTTGCTTCTCAGCCTACTGAGACTGTTTCTAGAAAATAGAAGAAACTAAGAGTGCTTTAAATAAACCTCTTTATTCAGTAACTTTCATGATATTGACTTGTATATTGAAAAACTATAAAATTCCAAGTATAATAAAATACAAGTTAAGTATTACGAAAGCAAAGACCTTTACATCTTAAGTGCTTTTAAAGGAACTCAATTTACATTATAGCTATTGAAACTATATTGCATGGATTCTATAGAAAATCTATACATTAAATATTCTAAATGATATACATGAATTTCTTTTAAATAGCACGCTTATGACTTTGTTTTGTGATGAACATGGGCTTTGGAATTTGGTGATTACTAGTATTTATTTTTGTTTCTTTTATATTTAAAATAGACATTTGTATCAGAAAACAGGGAGACAGCATCTAGAGATGTAGAAAGCTTCTACAACTTTGCTGATATACAGATGGGAATCTGAAGTGCATCGTGGAACCAGGGACTTGGTATTAAGCCCTTTTCAATTTGTGTATTAGCAATGGCTTTTACTAAGGCTAAAATTGTTAAAGCTGATTCTTCAGTATATTGTTGAATACTGCATCATTTACTTAAGGTTCAAAAATAGTTCATTTTAAATTAAATGTTTAATCATCTTAAAATTATTTAACCCACTTTGATAAACTTGTAGTTTTGATTCTATGCATATGATACTGTTTATTATTAGAAACCAGAAGTGGCTAACGGTTCATGATTTTAATCCTAATTAAACATCCTTTCAAATCTCTAATAATTTAAACTTTCCTCAGTGTTCGATGATACTTGTTTAAGAATACATACCATTGCTTATTCTCTAATTTAGAAAATTTAGAAATTCCTCTAAATTTCCAATCTAGAGGGACTTGTTACTAGTTGATCAATTAGAATGAACTTATGTGCATTTTTTTCATGTACACATATCCAGTTAAAGAATTGCTTCCTATTAGCATAATGTGGAAAATGACATTTTGTACACAGACTTGACAGTACTTTATAAGTTGAATTTTTAAATTAGTAGGTATTTGATAACTGATTTTGCAAGTAACTCTACTGACTGAGGTTGGTATAGCTGTTTAAAGACTGATTTTTGAGTAGTATGATTATTTGAGTAATTTCCCCCTTGTTTATTTTTTTTAATACAATTGCTAGATGACTCTTGTGCTTCCTGGTAAGAAAAGGCATATGCAGCACTAAAACTATAAAAACCCATTACCAGCAGTTTCCAAGAAGGTGATTATTTAAGTTTTATCAGCTCTTTTGGGATATTAGGAGAATCAGAGCAATACCTTGTAATATTTAGGTAAGAAGTACTTAGAAATGATAAGTTATGCAGATTAAAAAACTAGATAAATTTGATTTTCATTAGATATGCCACTAATATCAAGTAATGTTCAAGAATAAAATTATTTTGATTGCTTTAAAGCATTAGTTTCCAAATCAACCTACCATAATAATTTACCAGGAGGCAGGGGACAGCTACTTGTTTAAAAGTCCAATTCTTGGGCTCAATCCCCAGGTGTACTAATTCAATCCCCAGGGAAAACCCTGTTTTAAGGGGTTTGTTGTAATCTGAAGCAGTCAGTTCAGAAGATGTTGAGAGGCTGATCTTGTATAAAGTGACTGAACCCATTTACAGCTCATATAAAATTAGCTTTTATAGATCTATTTTTAGAAAGAACTTTAATAATATTTTGATAAAATTAAGACTGAAAATAACCACTTGTAAAAATTCCTCTTATGATTATTGTTACTGTAAATGTATTTTCATGTTTAAACTGCTCTTTGGATATTTTCATATTAATTTATAACTACTACATTGAGTTGTGTGCTGATGTCCAGAAATAATACATTAAAAGACTTTTCACTTTAAATTACTAAAGAGTACTTTATATATACCACATAATCAACCTCTCCTTTGAATCAAAACAATTTCATAAGATGCAACAGTTTAATATAATTTTGATTATAATTTACAAATGAGCTTTGCAAGTAGTGGTCAGAGGGCATTAATTTTTCCCATAGTTAAGCTAAATTAAACATGTTCCTTCTAGTTATAATTATATTATTAAGCCCCTTTATTCACACTTAATCACAGTACTTTTTGTTTTTATGCAAAGGTATAAATTTGGTTCTTTTATCTATGGTATTTTGGCAAAAACTCAGGAATATATAAGGGAGATGTTAATTTTAAATTTCCACTAAATTTAGTATCAACCAAAGCCTCAAATTTTATAATCTTCAGTTAGATAAGAGCTTTCACCCAAACCAAATTTGTCTTTAATGATAGTCATTTGGCTTCTGAATATTTGAAAAGATTTTTAAAAGTAAGTAGTGCTGTGGTTATTGTTTTTATAATTCTAAACTTCAATAATAATTATAGTATACTACATTTTACTTCTAAATAGCTTTTGGATTCATGAAAAATTAGTAATTTTGAAGTTACACATGTGTAAGCATTACATTAGCTTATATCTCTTGTGTTGATAGTACTGCTATGTTTTAGTACTGTTTTTGCTTTTGTATATTTATGTGCAGTTTTTGTATGTAATTTATCTAATGTTTATAAAATGTGATTTGTAATAAATGTTGTTAAAATGAAAATGGCTTAACACTAATTTTTGAAGAGCATTTCTATAACATACATGATCATGATACAAGTTTTTAGTGCTAAAAGTAGAACGAAATGTTCTAATGTCTTAGGTTGATGAGAAGTGAGCTGAGTGTGTATGTGTACGTACACAAAGCACTGGAGAAATGCAAAGGAAGTAGAAAACCTGTTTGAATTTAGGGAGTTATGATTGAATTCTTACTAAGATTAGACATCTTTCTCTTTCATATTTAAGAAGACAATAAATAGTTTGTGATATACTTTCTTTTTTAAAAGTATTAAGAATTCATCACCCCAAGTCAAGTCTTCTTCCATCACCACTTATCCCCCCTTTATACTCTGTCATCACCTCCTGTGATATACTTCCTTTCAGGTTTATACAAATGGACTTTATTTTAAAATTACTACCAAATTTACCAGCCTTTTATACCCAACTTCTCCCTCTCTTAGTCCATAAATCAGAAGTGCTGAAACTGCTGATTGGTTAGTTTTAAAATAACATTTATTATCATTATTTCTATGTCTAAAGCTTTTACATATACATGTAGAACATTTTGGGAAAAACAGAAATGCACAAGGCAATAGCTAAAATTATTTCATATTTATTGGATAATTGTTGCTGTTCTGAGTTTTAAATTTGCTTTTCTCATTTAAAAGGGGTACATTTAACTCTGTTCTTGACAGGAAGAGAAGATATTTTAATTAGGGTATGATTACTCCTTCAAAGTCCATTCTAGAAAAGACTTTATCCTTTAAAAGTATAAGACTAAAAGTGCTAAACTTCATTTGAATTTTTGTAATGGAAACCTTTTTGTGTGTGAAAATGGAGTCATTCATTGTCAAACTTGGTTTTCTTTTTTTGGTAAATACAGGCATACCTGGGGGATATTGCAGGTTTGGTTCCAGACCATTGTAATAAAGCGAGCATCACAATAAAGTGAGTTGTAACCTTTTTGCTGGTGGAGGATCTTGCCTTCATTTTGTAGAAAACACAACACTTATGAAGTGCTGTAAAACAAAGTGGAATAAATATATGCCTGTAGTGTTGAGGGAGATGACAATCAGCCCTACTTAGGTGGGAATACAAGAAGCCTTTATACAACCTCTTCTCTCCTTTGACGTATTGGCTTTTAGTGGCAAACGCCAGCAAGGTGTTCAGAAATAGCAGTTTCTTCCATTTCTGATGTTTTGGTGTTTTCTGGTGAGAATGGGTTCTCACCTGTAAATAGATGGTGAGGGAACAGGAGCACAGGTAGCAGAGAGTCCTGGCATTCTCATCTCTGCTCTTATCCTCCCTCTAGGGCCTGCCTTCCCCATTTCTGTTTAATCTGGTCCATTTGTAATGGGACTAATGAAAAGTCACTCACAAGTGATGTGACAAGTAATTAACTGATATTTGTAAATTGCCTTGTAGATTAAAAGTACTTTATGAATGTTAAGTACTATTTTGTTGAGTAAAGTGAGTACGGTGTTCTCTTGAAGTAATTCAACTGCGAAGCCACACAACACCTACAAATAGGCAACCAAATAGAAAAAAAGAAGTATAGGCTGTTAAGACTTGTGTGCTGTTTCTTACTGATGTATTGTACTTTCATTTGTCAAATGTAGGCCAGCTTGTTAGGCTCAGTGATAAAACCTTTTATACTCTTCCACCCTAACTTCTAAACAAGTTACATATTAAGTGATTTTAACATTTATCTCATTAGAGCTTATTGAGTGAGTTTTAGGACTTTGAAGGGTCTGGACCTTTTCAATCCTTTATTATACAGATGTGAAAATTGAGGCTCAGAAAGTTAAGATGGACTGTCCAACTCACACCATAATCACTACACTATAATGCAGGACCTCTTGACTTTCCCCCCTTCACCTTTCTGCCATCACCTTAAGAACAACACTCAGTTCATCCAGCTCCTCCTATATAAAGCCTTTTCTAACACTAAGGTAAAATGCTGCATTTCCTCCTTGGTGCTCACACAATACTTTGTAGAATTCCAAGTACCTGTAACCCTTTATTCTATTTCTTTATCCATGCTGCCCTTGTGACTCAAAGTGTGATCTGTGCACCAGCAGCAGCAGCATCACCTACCTCTCGTTAGAATCTCAGGCCTCACTCCAGATCTGTTAAATAATCTTCTACATTTTAACAAAGTAGGGGATTCATATGCACATTAGAGTTTGAGAACCTAGATCATTAGTTCCTGTAATCAAGGCTTAGAAATATTTTTTACTCCTAGAGAGTGGCCTAGAGCCCAGTAATATGATCTATATTTAATAAATGTTTTTGGTTGAATGACACCCTCTAGTGCTTCTTTCCACTATAGTTGATTTTTGTCTTTTCTGCAATTCTTTTCTTCATGTATTCTCCTTGATTGGCTTTGGAATAAAAAACATTCTACAGTATTCAGTCCCCCCTTACCTGTTTGTATTGAAATAGTAACAGCAGTCTCTGCCCACTGAAGGCTCTCCCAGGGAGCTTTAAGAATATCAGCAGTATTCACTGGAAAGACATAAGAGCGTAGCAGTTTCTGACTTAAATTTTCTTCTGATGTGTTTTCATATTCAAGTTTGTTTTATTCAATTAGGAAACATTACATAAAGTCAAGTGGTGATTTGATGCTGGGGCTGAGTTAAAATGAAAGAGCAGTCAGCTACTTGTTTTGGGCTTGTGGGGAATATTAGTTACTTAGTCACTCATATCTGTTATCTTCCCTCTTATTTAAAAAATTTTTATTAAATTTATTGGGGTGACATTGGTTAATAAAATTATATAGGTTTTGTCACAGGTGGACACAGGTAACCAGGTTCTTGGTGATCACGAACAAAGAATTGAATGGAACACACAGTTTATGGCATAAAGAGAGAGAGAGAGGGCAGATTTATTAAGCAATAGTACACTCCACAGAACATGTGAGCAGGGCCAACTCCCAGCAGAGACTGACCTCACAGCCTGGAGGGATTCTATTCTTTTTTTTTTAATTTTAATTAATTTTATTTAGTTATTTTTCAAGTACAGTTTTTTGTCTATTTCTCCCATCCCAGCCTCCCCCGCCCCTTGCTCCCCACCTCCCTCCCATTTCCACCCCCCTTAGTTCTCGTCCCTGTGTCCTTCCTATTTGTTCCTCCAAATACCTCCCCCTTTTTCCCCTTAACTTCCCTTCCTTCTCCCCTCTGGTCACTGTCCCCTTGTTCTCTATTTCAGTGTCTTGGTTTTTTTTTTCTGCTTGCTTGTTTGTTTTGTTGTTTAGCTTCCTGTTAAAGGTGAGATCATATGGTATTTGTCTTTCAGCACCTGGCCTATTTCACTCAGCATAATGCTTTCCAGTTCCATCCATGTTGTTGCAAAAGGTAGTAGCATAAAACAGGCACATAGACCAATGGAACAGAACAGAGAGCCCAGAAATCAACCCAACTCTCTACAGTCAATTAATATTCGACAAAGGGGGCAGTAACATAAAATGGAGTAAAGATAGCCTCTTCAACAAATGGTGTTGGGAGAACTGGACAGCTACTTGCAAAAAAATGAAACTTGAGCACAGACTTACACCATACACCAAAATAAATTCAAGGTGGATAAAAGACTTAAATATAAGCCGTGACACCATTAAAGTCCTAGAGGAGAACATCGGCAAGAAAATCTCAGATATTTCACGCAGCAACATTTTTACTGATATGTCCCCTAGAGCAAGGAATATAAAGGAAAGAATAAGCAAATGGGATCTCATCAAAATAAAAAGCTTCTGCGTGGCTAAAGAAAACAGTATTAAATTAGCAAGACAACCAACTGTATGGGAAAACATATTTGCCAATGATACCTCAGACAAAGGTTTAATCTCCAAAATATACAAAGGATTCTATTTTTTTATTTTTATTGTTATTTTTCAAGTACATTTTTTATCTATTTCTCCCATCCCAGCCCCCCCCACACTGTCTCCCCCCTCTCTCCCATTCCCTTCCCCCAGTCCTCATCCCTGAAAGGATTCTATTCTTATAGGGTGGATCTTTCCTGGTTAGTTTTGGTGGGCTTTTATTGTGCATGTAAAAGTAAAATTACTTTAAAGCTACTGTGCATGTGGTCTCCTGTGAATTTCTTTGGCCACCGGTGAAGGGAGTACCACAATGTTAATTTATTATAATGCTCTTACAATGAAGCAGGGGTCATGTAGCATCTTCTGTGGAGTTGTGTTCATGAGTCACCACGATTCATTGCTTTTCCAGAAAGCAGGAACTGGTCTTAGAACAGGGTCTCTGTCCTGTATCATTGTCCTTTATCTTAGCTCTGGGGCACCTCTGGAGTTTCCTCCTTCCTATCTCCTGCCTCAGTTTCAGCTGTACATTTCTATAAGATATCATCTGTACACTGCATTTTGTGTTCACCACCCCAAGTCAAGTATACTTCCATCACCATTTACCCTCTTTACCCTCCTCCACCTTCCTTCCATCCCCCTTTCCCTCTGATAATCAGCACATTGTCCTCTGTATCTATGAGGTTGCTTTATTCCTTGTTTATCCTCCCTCTTTATCTCTTGGTATCTTCCCACTTCTAGTGTTCAGGTGTGAGCTTGACTGTCATCAATAAATATGAGCGGGTTTGTCCAGGGAAGTGTTGTGTTGCTCCACATTTTGGGGGGAATGCGGTGACAATGGCTTTTCTTTCCTGGAACAAAGACTTAATTGTAAATCTAAAATATGAAAGAAAAGTAAAATCCTAAATGCACACTCTACCCTTTATTTATTTTAAATAATTTTTTGGTTTCCTCAGTAGAAATATATTGAGGTCTTCATATGAGACTTAATTGTAATTTCTTAAAAGGTACTTCTTTGCCTTCTAAATAAAAAGGGGGAGGGATTTTGAGGAACAAGTATGAAAGACACAGAGATGAGGACTGGGGGGGGGATGGGAGGGAGGGGGGAGACCGGGTGGGGGGTGGGATGGGAGAAATAGATAAAAAAAAATGTACTTGAAAAGTAACTAAATAAAATTTAAAAAAATAGTAATAATAGTAGTAGTACACCAGGATTCAGGTGGCATATGAACATTCCCTTTCCATTACTGTTTAATGGTAACATAACAGGAAAAAAGACAAAAACATGTGCATAAATATGGTGCTTTGGTTTTAAAAATGAGACATTTCTTACTTGAACCCAGATTCAGCTTCTTGAAATTAAAAAAATGCTGATCTCCTTAACACATCCTTATTCAAGTATATAGTATTACAAACCCTTTAGTGCTAATGTGTACTTATAAAACAAACCAAAGGCTATGACAACAGATTGGGCAGTATTTTAGGCCTATATTGTGTTCTTCATCTACCCTGTTCAACTTTAAATGAATGCATTTTTATGGGGATATGTTCCATTCCTCCCTCCACCTCTCAGAAGAGGTACTGCTAAATTCATCTGAAATGGCAGAAACCACTTCAGTGTAGTTGGGTTTGAGTTTTTGAATGCTGTTACATAGAGCAGCTACTTATTACATGTCAGGCTCTGTGTTAAGCACTTTATGTATAAAATCTCATTTAAGCAGTGATTTAGATCTCAGTTCTACATTAAGCACTTTACATATATAGTCTCAGTTGGTCCTCTTGGCAACCGTAAGAGAGAGGCACTGCTGTCATCCCTATGTTATGATTGAGGAAATTTGAAGCTTACAGAGTTTAGCTAATTTACTTATGGCCAAACAGATGCTAAATGCAGAGTCTGAACCTCAGACCAGAAGGAGCAGTATGACTCCAAGATCCATGCTTTTAGCCACCACACTATACTGCTCAGCAATAATAATAATAATAATAATAGTAATAATAATAATAATAGCAATAGTATATTGATCCCCTGCTGTAATAGGCATTATGTTAAATACTTTGCATACTTTAAGCCAGGAGTGTCCAACCTGGGACTCAGAATGGCTATGAATGTGGCCCAACAAAAAGTCATAAATCTACTTAAAACATTATTAGACCTTGTTGTGATTTCATGTTGCACTGTATTTAATGTGTGGCCCAAGACAACTCTTCTTCCAGTGTGGCACAGAGATGTCAAAAGGTTGGACACCCCTATAGCCATTTAACCTTCACACCAAATATATGAAGATCATATCATTGGTCCCATTTCGCTAGATGAAGAAATTGAAACTTAAATTTAGTACCTCCTTTGTTTAAGGTCACATTGAAACCAGAAAAGTTGATGTTTGTGCTGCCTGTCACTACCAGAATCAGTAAGTAGAGAAAATGATTGGCTCTTTACAGGCACTCTATTCAGATTGCCAGTGAAGTGATCTGAGAAGATGGTGGGTTATGTACCCTTAAGACCATCTTACATCTCATCTCAAGCTGACCTTTTTTGTAAGGAGAAGAACAGAATAGGTATGGGTTTGGAATTCAGGAAAAAAGCGGGTAAGGTGTTTGGAATTCAGAGGTAAAGGTTAATCAGATAAAAGTTGCAGTACTGCCATTTTCATCTGCTAACCTGTGATTCTTCATCTCTGTCCTGGTCAGGAGACATTCCCTCCCTGAAACACAATAGCTCAGATTCCATCTTGATTGCTTGCAGTCCTCCCGGGGCACAAAGGTTGAACTGCTTATGGTTTCCTGGAGTCAGGGTGGGTCTGGTCATTACATTCCACTTCCTGGAACAATAGCTTCCTACATGCATTGACCACCAAGCCTATTAACTATATAACTACAGCTAAAAATTTTGAACTCTTGAGTTCCCCCATCATTCCTCACTGTTAGTCTAAACTATCTTATTTCTTTGAGATTAGTTCCATATGGAATACTCATTTCGCTGTTGAGCATATATCTTAGCAGTAGAAAGTCTCATAGGGGCTTTGGGAATACACTTAATTGCAGATCCACATAAGGGGACACATCGTGTATAACAACAAGCTATGATATTCAAAAAGATAAAAAGAATGAAAAGAACAAATGTTTAAGACCAGTAATAATACTAGGCAGCCAGGAGCTTCCTCCTGCAAGACAAAAGTCAGAGATATTCAGAACTTTTTTTGCAAAATATACCCAAATATTTTCATCTTGTTTGAAAGGAATAAGTTCTCCATAACATGGGGGTTGAACAAAAAGTAATGAAAAAAGTATACGTCATTGTTTTCTAATGGTGGCTTTCAGGTGTTCTTGTGATTTAGTGGTCCATTGTTCTAGAGCTCTCTTTACTGTGGTGTGATGAATCCAAAGTTTTATTTCTACCAGTTTCACCATGGTGGGGGTGGTGAGGAGTATGTCCCAAGGCCCAGTCCACTTTTCTTCTAGTCTTCCATCCTGTCTTCCAAGTCTCAAGTAGCACCTTATCTCCAGGCTCAAAGGAATGCAGAAAACCTGTGGGGGAGAAGTCAGCTAAGATCTGACTTAAATGTAGTACATAGTTCTTTACCTTCCCTTATTGATCTACATTCATATCTCCCACCCAAATCATAGCCTGGAAATAGTCACCTGCACACAATTTCATAAAGACTCAATGGAATCCCACCTCAAGGAGCCACCCTTATCCTGAGCAGGGCAACAGGTAAAACTTGATCCCAATGGAGATGAGTTTCTTGACAGTTTGGCTGTCAATGTGTGATTCATCTCTACCTTCCCAGAGGCCTGAGGTCTCCATGCTGTGTGGAGTCTCCACTTGATTCCTAAAAATTTACTAACTTTCTGTGTAATTTCTGAAACAAAAGCAGGTGCATTATCACTCTGGATGCTGCCAGGAAGACCAAAGCAAAGAATTATTTCCTTCAGTAAGGCTTTCACTACCTCCGAGGGTTTCTCTGTTCTAGTGGGACAGGCTTCTACCCATCCACCAAAGGTGTCGACAAGGTCAACAAATATTGGGTTGGCCAAAGAGTCCATATGGTTTTTTTCTGTAAAATAAAAGACACATTTTTCATTTTCACCAATAACTTTATTGGTTTGGATATTTTGAGTATGTTGGCTAACTCCTGCTTATAATGTTGATTGTTCTCACTGTCTGGATTTGATTGCTATGAACTTCAACTGGTCTACCTGATCTACCTGACTGTGGAGCATTGTCCAGCAAGAAATCTCCAGCATGAAACTTTACAAACCACTTTTTACATGTTCAATCAGTCACAGCACCTTCTCCATACACTGCACAAATCTTTTTGTGTGTGTTTCAGTTGTTTTTACCTTTCTTGAAATAATAAAGCATAATATGCTAAAAATGTATATTTTCTTCTATCTTCAATATTGAAATGGCTACACAATTCACCAATTTTGATGTTTTTTTAAAAATGTACACTGATAATGACAGTTGCTACCATACAATCTAACAAAATTGTTTGAAATGAAGTTAAAACTAAGCGCTACTAATGACATCGTATGTAAAAAACCAAACAAACTTTTTAGCCAACCCAATATTTCCACCCTCAGAACTTCGACATCTGGGTCAAGTCTATTTGCCAGTCCTAAAATGGGAACTATCCTTGGTATTGTTCTCCTTCTTTCTTTTGACTGGGATCTATCTTGGGGTTGGTCTTCTGACACACAACACATCTTGTTATTACTTTTTGCATGACTTTAGAAATTCCAGGACCTGTGAGCCACAGTTTAATATAGGTAGTTACTGAGTACCTTCCAGTGTGTAGCCTCATGCAAATACTTCATGACCGGCTCTACTAAATGTTCAGGAAGCAGTAACTCCTTTCTCATGCTTTCGCCATCTACTACCAGTCTCTTCTTCATTAAAAAAAAAAACAAAACCCAGCTCTTACTTTCTCTAAATCTGCAGTCAAATATTCAGGATTGAACTGTGACAAGTCTAGAACAGGTACCAAAGGCATTATAGATGTTCCTTTAGCAGCCTCTTTCACTGCTCAATCAGCCAGATTGTTTCCTCTAGCCACTTCAGTGTCCTTTTTCTGATACCCCAGCCAGTGCATAACTGCCACCTCTAAGGTACCTGGACAGCTGTTAATAGTTTTTAAATGTCCACTGCATGTTTAATTTCCTTTTTATCGGAGGTTTATGGTTCTTTCTCTTTCCACCTTGGGCCATGTGATTGCAAAATTGGGAAAGCTTACCTCAAGTCAGTATACACATTCACTCTCTCTCCGTGCGACAATCCCAGTGCCCTCGTCAAAGCCATCAGTTCAGATTTATGAGCAGAGATTCCCAGCACTAAGGTCTTGGTCTCTACTATCCCTTTAAGAGCCACAACTGCATATCCAGCCTTTCTGTTTCCTTTGCATAGAGAGCCCAGTCTGCCTCTTCTAGAGGATGGTTCTGTAAATCAATTTTGCTAGAATAAACATCAATTATTTCAGCATAGTCATATACATTCATTAGTGCAGCTGAGCCAAGCTCTAGAAGGGAGGCATAATTTAACTTACAGTTTTCAGGGAGATGTTGGGATTGTCGAGTGGAATTGCTTGGTACCTGCCCATTCTTACAGCAAGGAGCCACAAATTTCCTTTTTGCTCTAGCAGGCTCAGCACTTGGTGGGGTGCATATATAGTGATAGGCTGTCCCAAGAAAAACTTTACAGCTTCCTGAAAAGCTTACAGGTGGCTGCCACAGCTCTCAAGCAGGCAGGCAACCCTTGAACAGTGTGATTTAGTTTCTCTAACAAGTATATGATGGGTTGCAGAATGTCACTAAGCATTTGGGTGAGGACTTCTGGGGCAACACCCTGCCTTTCCTGAACCTGGTTTGAGGTTAACTCTAACAGAGGAGGCTTGCTTAGCCTTCTCTTGCTTTCCAGCAGCCCACACAATTGGGGTGTACCTGATTCTTAATTTCTTCCGGCTAGGGTTGCCTATCTTCCTCCCATGATTTCATAAGGAACTGCCAAACATGCTCTGGAGGGAACTGTAGGTGGGGCTGTTGTTCTTCTGGAGAGAAAGTATTCCAAGCACTAATTTTGGACAGCAGTTCCCCTCCCAAAAGAGGATTTGAACACTCAGGAATATATTTAAAAAATATGAGTTAAAACCGGGTCTCCCATAGCACATTCTAATGGCTTCAAGAAAAATTGGCTTTCAGAGCTTCCAGAAATTCTAGTTACAGTTACAGCCTGCCACAAAGACTCAGAGCTCTGCTAACCATGGAATATATTGCTGTGGTATCAATCAAAAAGTATACAGTTTGCCACCCCCACTGTTAGTGTTACCCAAGGTTCCTGAGGAGTGACTTTAATAGGTTGTTGTAATAAACATTATTCTTTATCAGAGCTATTTCCCTCCCCCAGCATAAGTCTTGAGTTCTCAGACTCTTACCCCCTTTTCCCTCACTTGGGACACTCATTTTTCCAGTGCCCCTTTCCTTTGCAATACACCCAATGATCGGTGACAGGTGTTTTAGATGGAGGTTTGGTACCTCTTGCCCATGGATGACATTGCTCTGAGGACAGTTCCAAGGAAATAGTGATAGCTTGGGCCCTTTTCTGTTCTCTGTTATGATAAATTTTGAAGACAATGTCTACTAATTGGGAAGGATTCATGCCTATTCCTCCCTCTAACTTCTGAAGTTTGTTTCTGATGGAAGGTATACTTTGAGAGATAATGGTCATATTCACCATTCTAATATTTTCAGGGGCTTGTGGATCCAAATCAGTATATTTTCTATAGGCCTGGTAGATTCTTTCAAGAAACTTAAAGGGGTTCTCTGTGGGCTTTTATTGTACTGCTTCTACCATATTCAGACTTTTCTTCAGTCCCTTAAAGATGTACCTCTCACATTGTTCTAAGAGAGGAAGGCCATTCTTATTAAGGTCCCGGTTGGGCTTGCTTCAAGGTATTGTCTTAGTAGGGTCAGAAGCCTCATCTGAATTTTCTTGGTGCAGTCTTCAAGCCACTTCATTGCCTTATCCAATGCCAGCCTCTGCTCATCCCCCATAAGCAAATATTCAGTAAGGCTTGTATTCCTGCCCAAACTCCAGTATACCACTGTAAGGAGTGAGACTGGCTTACAGCAATTTTGCTATGCTAGATAGGCCTGAGGCCCCCAAAGCTCAGGCATGGCTCCTAATGTGATAAAGCCCCCTATGTAGGTGTGCTAAACAGAAAGACATACATTTGTCTTGGTGCCTGGGAGCCTCTGCCCCTAAGACATGGCCACTGCAAAGGGAAGGTGAGCAAAACAGCACTAACAAAATATGGAGACAACCTGTAAAAACCACTTACCTCTTTAAAGACTCCTCTGAAAATGCCACCACCTGTGACTGTGTTTCAGCCTACTGCCCTGGAATCATCTCAATCCAAATCAGCACTCCTTTTGAGGGGTGGGTGTGAAGAAGACTGACCCTGAGCTTCCTTTCACCTAGAGACAAGCATTACCATAGCAGGTAATGATACAGCTTAGATTTAAACTGATGTCTATCTCTTAATCACTATTCCTGAGGGAGGAACATATCAAAATCCATTGTGCATATTTTTAAAATATATATGAGATGTGTCTATAACATATTTAGCTGTGTAATAGAAAAATAGAGACATTTATTGAAGAAGATACAAGATACAAGAAACATTGTACATAGGACAATGACACCTCAGTCCCCTTCAAGTAAACAGCTTGGGACCTCATACAGTTCTCCCAGCCACTCTTCCACTGTTCAAAATCCTCTGCAAAATCCTTTGTTGGAATTGCCATCAGCTGTCCCACTACATTTTCCTGAATCTCATGGAGAGTCTGAAGTCTCTTCCATTTCAAACATGATTTTAGTTTTGGGAAAAGCCAGAAGTTGTGGGCACCAAATTTAGGCTATAGAGAGGCTGAGTCACCTGGTGATTTGATGCTTTGCAAAAAAATTCTGCATGAAACATGATGCATGAACAGGTGTATTGTCATGACAAAGCTACCCATCACCAGTTGCCCATACCTTCAGGCTTCTGAATCATCTGAATTCTTTCTACAGAGGAATGTTCAGACATAACACAAAATTTGATGCAGATTCGTTACTTTACTCAGTCATTTTGAGTGCAACAGCCACACAGTACACATGCTCACTCAATGGCATCTACTGCTCCCACTGACTAATACAGTGAAGTTGTCATTGTCACACATGTGCATTCCAGTCCACTCTCCTTGGCTGCTAGGTCACACTGATGTTGCCCAAACCATTCTCGGTAGATCAACAATGGCTGGACTTTTTCTGGACAGACCTCATATACCCCTCCAGGCAGTCAGAAAGCCTAAACAGGTAATTGTACAAAGCACTAAAGGGGGGTAAGATCACAGATGGGCAGAGAAATATTTAAATAGCGTGAAGTAAAAACAAAAAACACAAAGATCTACCTCTAATGTACTGATAAAGAGAAATGTTACTTTTCAGTTACAAAACCAAGGTCTACAACACTGTACCCACTATGTTATCTATGTATAAGAAAGGGGAAGATAATAAGCATGTGTATGCATGCTTCATTTTGCATAAAGGACCACTGAAAGGATAAAAGAAACCAATAAAAGATACCCATAGGAGACAAGAAGAAAGAGGGGGATGGCACATCTTTTATTACTGTTCATGTGCATTACACCTCCTTTTTCCTCATAAGAATGCTATCAGTGCCCTGGCTGGTGTGGCTCAGTGGATTGAGTGCCGTCCTGAGAATCAAATGGTCACCAGTTTCATTCCTAGTCTAGGGCATGAGCCTGGGTTGCAGGCCAAGTCCCCAGTAGGGGGCATGTGAGAAGCAACCATACATTGGTATATCTCTCCCTCTCTTCTCCCTCCCTCCCCCTTTCTAAAAATAAGTAAATAAAATCTTTTTTAAAAAGAATGCTATCAGAGGCAATACCACTTATATTTCATAAGAGCATGTCTAAATCTTGTCAGGATCCACTGGTTATTTTTTTTTCTTTCTTTTTTTTTTTTTTTTTTTTTTTGCTTTTTAAAATTTTTTCTTAATCACACTTTTTTCCCTGTAGCACTTTTCTCTGATAATCACTCCTTTGTTCTTTAAAATTTCTCCCACCTTGGTTCCTGTGATAATGAATCAGTTATTCACGATCCATGAATTTACTGAGCACTGCTTGGGCCAGGCATGGCGCTACAGTCTATCTTCCCTACTTTGAGACTTAGTCTCTTTAGCTAGCTCATTACTTTCTTTCTCTGCTCTTCCTTTTCCATCTTCCACTTCAACTGTCCTCATGGTACAAGGTGCAATCTTGAGTCCTCTGCTTTATTCCTAGGTTCTTTCCTTTAGGCATGAACTTTTCTCAGTTTCAAATAGTACCACTAAGCACAGCCATTCATCTGACTGCCCTTCCTCAAGCTTCAACTCTACTAAATATGTTCACTTGAACATTTAAAATAATTGTTCTCCTGGTCCCACCATGTATTACACAGAACTCATCACATTCCTCCTTCCCAGATGGCCCCTGTTCTGGCATCCTCATTTACACTGATGACATGCAATGATCTCAGTTATACCATTGACACTTTGGGGCCATCTTATTCTTTTTTTTTCACCTCCACTAGACAGCACTTAACCAGCCCTATTGTTGAAATGTTTCTCTTCCATCCTCTCTTCTCATGCCCATCCTCACCAACCTAATGTGTGTCCTTGGTGCCATGGTTACCACATCAGCCTCCCTTGGGGGCCCCTACTGAAGATCTCTGCTTGCTTCCTTCCATGCATCCCATACACTGCAGGGCAAATGAGCTTAGTAAGTAGCTCAGAGAACACAGTCTTTGAGGGTGGTTTGGTTATTATTAGTCTCATATTATGTTATGAAACTATCCATTTTAGAACTTGTAAATAATTTCATTCTCTCCCTATCTAAATTGTCAGCTTTTTGAGTAATTGATAAGAACCTTTGTTTTGAAGACTGGGAGAACTCTCTAAAAAAAGAAAACAACATCAAAAATTGAGCAGCAACTACATGCCAAGTATTTTCACAAAATTAACCTTGGTATATCCCACAGTGGCTATCACAGGAAGTTGAGATAAGTCAAGAGACACTTATTTCTTTGAAGAACTCAATTCTCTGTTTTAGCAATCATTTGAGATCCTGACTATTCAATAGGGCATGGTCAATGAAAATTACTCTTTGCTTATGTTCCTCTCCACGCCTGGAATCCCTTTCCACAATGCTTCATATTCTGCCCTTCCTTCAGGAATGGTCCAAGTTTTATACCCTCCAGTAAGCCACTGACCCTTAATCATTTGAATTGGTCATGTCAGAGTTGTAAAGAATAAGTGTGGATTTGAGAACCATCAGACCTGGGTCTGATTTACCTTCTGCTATATAGAACCTATGTAAATCTCAACAAGCTATGTTATGTCTTTAGTTTTCTCATCTGTAAAATGAGAATTATGCCTGCTTTTCAAGTTATTTTGAGTATTCAGTTAAGTAAAAGGTGAAACAACCAGCTTCAGTGTTAGTTCTTCTCCTTTAATCAAACAAAACCTTGAAGTATTACTTTTCTTGTCTCTTATTTTTTCAAAATGACACAAAACTCCCTGTGGAACAACACCAAGATTTCTGTACCTGCTCTCTCTTAATCTCAGGAAACAAAATACTGCCTAAAGCAAATAAAAACCAATTGAATGAACACCAATTGAACAAGATTGAAGGGGCTCTAGTACTCTAATACCATTCAATCAGCAACTCTTACTGACTTCCTGTGACTGTTGAACCTATGAGCTGAACACTGTAGGATAGGGGTAGGAAGGTAGAGGAAACTGTTAGCAGAGTGTGAAGAAGGAGGAGGATGTGGAGGAGAGAAAAGAGGAGGAGGAGGGTATGAGGGGAAAGAGAATGAGAACAAGAAGGAAAATGAGAAGAACAAGAAGAAAAAAGAACAAGAGCGATGCTGGGTCTCATGTAACAAAGTCTCGAGGCAGGCAGGAGGCAACACGGTAACTCCATAATGTCTCTAAGGTCCTAGGCTCTTTCCATCTTCCTGACCTGCCATCCTAAACATGTAGCTTTCTCTTTACACTGGTAATTTGGCTCTCATAACTGTAAGTATTATGACTGCATTCTTTGTAGAAATAATGGAGAGGTGAATGGCAAAGGACCAGCAAAGTCCCTTTTTGTCAGGAAAACAGTAACTTTCCCAGCAGCCTCACTCAGTAGACTTCTACTTACATCTCATTTGCCAGAGTTGGATTACATGGCCATCCTACCTTCTAGGCTAGGGAGATAAGTATTATTACTGGGCACATTGTATCCCTGAAAATTTTAGGTTCTAACTGTTGAGGTCCAAAACAGATGTTGAAAAGGGACAATCCCGAACGAGCCCCGGATAAAGTTAGGCTGACCAGGAACTAAAGTTAGGCTGACCAGGAGCAGGGAAATTTTTACTAGCCTTTTGAATTTCCCTAATAAGCCAATGGCAATCAGCTGTTTAGAGCTAGTCACTAGCTAACAGCCACATCTGCTTCTGTTCAAAGCTTGCTTGCATACCCCTATATAAGGACATAGCTGTAAGCGCAGGTAAAACTTGACCAATAAAGTAACATCTTGAAAATTCTGAAAGTCTCCGAACCTCTGTTTCTCGTGACGGCGGATGCAACACTAACAGTACAAATTATCATAATGGATATTAGGGAAGCAATTATCAGTATTTGCCACAAAAGCTTACAATCTGTTTAGTTTAGAATACATAACCGGATGGGAGGGAAAGAGTTTAAGAACAAATGGAGCCCAAAAGTTTCTTCCGAGTGATAAAGAATGGAATAAGACCTTTTTTGGGTAAAGTCTCCCGAAAAAGTAAAAAATTCTTAAATTTGTGAAGAACACCAGGAACAAAATTGTTACTATTGTGATTAAACAAACAACTGGTTCTTGTATCCAATGCTGCAGAATTTATACATGGGCTTGGATAGAGCCTAGAAGACCTGGAACAGTTTTCATAGGCTTCTGTCCCATAAGGCTGTGGTGCTTCTAACTTTAAAAAGCTACATACTGAGACTTTTGAGAACTTGCTTAGATGATGGTTCCCAAGAAAAACCACTCTCTCCTAAGCCACACATGGTGCAGTTTACTTCTAATATGGAAAATGGTGGTTAGTCTCTAAAGCTGAGAATTCTCTGAACTCAGACATATTCCTAATCCCCTTTGAAAATTGAGATTTAGAAAAATTCAATCTAGAAAAAATAAAGTGAAGGGAAATTTAATTTTTTCTTAAGTGCATATTGCTTCTGGATTTATATATAAAAAGTAAAGGCAGTGAGATTATCATTCAGGATTCTCCTGAGAAACAGAATCATTAGGAGATACACACACATACACACACACACGCGCGCAGGGGTAGGCAAAAGTAGGTTTACAGTTGTAATACAAATAATACAATAATTAATAAGTACAAGAAT